CCTTCATTTTTAGGAAGCGGATTTTTTTTCCCTCCTTTGTTTTACTTGACTTTTGCTTTTTTTTTTTTTTTTTTAATATCGGAGAAGATGAAAAGAATTCAGGTCTCACCCCTACAGCGCTTCGGGCACAAACCCTCCCTGGATATCAGCTCTTCTGCGGGGAGCCCTGCATTCAAGCCACAGACCGGTATTAATGCTCTGAATTTGCTTGTGGGGTTAAAAAAAGTAAATCTGTGACTTCAGAATGTGGCTGTTCCTCTGCAGAGGGGAACGTTGCAGCTTCGTGATTCACTGCCATCTTGTGATATTTAGCGTTTTCCTAAAAGGATCACCACACAATATCAATTAAAAAAACCTCAAACAACACAAAACTGCCCAAATCTGTTCCTAGCATCCATAGTTACAGAGAAAAGCTGGAGACCATGAGGCTGACGGGCTGTAAAACTCCTACCACAAAAAAATAAAATGAAAAGCTGTGACACGTGCTGCTTTTACATTTTTATAACCTGTAAATTCTTCACATAGACTCTGTTCTGTCATTGAAAAAGAAGCTGAAGTTTTCCTTGATTGGATCTCGCCTCGTGTGATAGGAAAACAAGGTTTTCAATCTCGTTTTTTTGGCCTTTGCCTTCGGGTGGAATGGCAAAATTAGGACAAGCTCGCTCAGATGAGCTAGTAATTATTTATTTATTATTATTATTATTATTATTATTATTATTATTATTATTATTCCTCCCATCTCCAAGCAGAGTACCTGGGAGCTCTTGTACCAGTTCAGAGAGGAAAAACACGGTGAGAGAAGCTGCATAATGCATAGACAAAAATTTAACAGAAAATGGGGAACAGAACAGGGGGATGTCCCAGCTTTTTAAAAATTATAAGAGTAGATTTGACAAAGCAGCAGGAAGCGAAACCCCGAAACCATCCCGCCTCTGACGCGGAGGGGCAGCGGGAGCGGGTGTCCTTGCCCAAAACTAATTTTGAAGAGGGATTTGCATACAGACCGTCCTCAGCGAGGAGCCCGGGGAGAGCTCCGCTGAGCGCCGCACCGGTTCGTAGTCGTAAGCCCCAAACAGCGAAAGCTCGCTTGCCAAAACATCTCTGAGAAACTTCAGCACGCGGTTACATTTTTAAAACGGTAGCTACTGCAAGAAAGCAGTGCCTCAAGAGCTTTTAAATTTTGATGAATTCAGCACACCCAAAATCGAGAGTGCATCCCAGTATTTTACTGTATTTACTATTTTTAGTGGTATTTTACTGCCCTGTATTTTGCCGCTAACCAGGCCAGACGTGGCGGGAGGGACTGCGCCGACAGGGGTGAAGGCGTGGGGAGGAGCGGCTGGGAGCTGCCCGGCAGAGAAGGACCTGGGGGTGTTGGCTGACAGCCGCCTGAACATGAGCCAGCAGTGTGCC